CCCCCCCCCCCCCCAAATAATATCCGGGTATTTCCAATATGGCAGCGCCCAAAATACACCCCATACACTGTTTGTGTAATCGTCTACTCGTTTAAATACAACGCGAATGCTAGAAGCAGATGGTTAAAGTGCTCAGGTTGCATTCTTTAACAAGTAGGTATTCCGGTAACAGGCGATGTGTAGTTAAATTGGCTTAAATAGCAATATTTTTGCAACCCTTGCCTCAAAACTGCTCATGCATGCTACTTCCTTAATTGAGTACGGTATCTTATGTATGACTGAGTTTCCATAAACCTACCGTACTAGCAGGATCAATCTAACTCTGAGGGCATTCTCGCTAAGTTGCATTCACTTTAAGCGGCTTAAATCTTTGTCACGCCCACTGAAGCTGATAGTGGGGTAATTAACTTTCGTGCACGCTTAAGCAGAATGCAATTTAGGGAGAATCTCCTCGAAGATGGATCGATCCTGCTAGTACGATAGGGTTATGGGAATGAGCCCTATGCTGTAGACAATGCACCTCCAAACTTAAAAGTATTGGTAGGTATTTCAGAAAAATTTTCAAACTGATCAGAAAATTATAATACTTATATCATCTGAAAGGTAATGCAAAAACCGGATGAAGTCACTTGGAATTTTTTAAATATTCTTACAAGCAACAAAGATATTGAAGTATTTTAACTGCAAAAATTCACCAAAAGTGTCCAAACTCTTCAGCTTAAAACCTGTCACTACTGACCAGCGGTGATCACTCAGCTGTAGCTGCAGCTCAAATTGCTTGTGACCAATTAGGGCAATTGTGGCTGTATGTTAATCTAATGACCCAGAAACAAACCCAAATTGGTGACCGCACAAGCACATGGCTGGGATGGCAGATCATGTAGTATAAATATTGTGCATCAAATAAACTATACTTCACATGGTTTAATTTTTCATGATTTTTCTACATAATATTGCAAATTTCATAAATTTTATTCGCTATAAATTTCAAAAAGCTGAAACCAGCACTTAACTGACATTTTTGAGCATTTTGTCGAGGCAAAACTTCAAACGCCCTGAACTGAAACTTCTCAAAGACTGCAACACGGGAAAATCACGTGATCGGATTTTACTCTTTCATTTACAGCTTATTTAGTTAATGGCTTGTATTAGTTTTTTTACGCGGCGCTAAAAGAGAGATTAAAAAAAGGGGTGCCATAGGCGAGCTGTCAGCAGGCCGATATCAGTTTTACACTTCACTGCCCCTGGATAGTTACTACTGTAGCGCCCCTAGCGGATTGTGATATACCTAGTATTGGGTTTTTAAGATTTTTCTAAATTCCGTCATGTGCTGTTTTCACAGTGTATGTAATCTTTTATGGTGTATATTTTTTGGCAATTTTATTGAATTAGTTCTGAAATTTAAAATGACTGTCCACTTCCATCGTAGCTCAGTAGTTGGAAAACTATTCTCCTTTACAGATAACCTTTATTGAGTGCTAAATCAATGTAATTTTGGGTGCAGAATCCAAATAAGTTATTTTGATGCATGTTTAAAGAAACACTAGGGTGTCATTTCCCATCATTTAGTGTCATTTTATATCATTTCAGTGTTTACAAATGATACATGAATATATGATACATGTAGATTGATTTTAACTGGCCTTTAACTAGGTATATCTTATCAAATTCCAGTCAAGCAAAGAAAAAACTTTAAAAAGATGGCAGAGTCTAAGGGAAAGCAACAGAACAAATCAAAGGACACCATTAGTCCAGGAATCAAGACGGATATACAAGAACTTATAGAAAAGGAGGAACATGCACTGAGAAAGAGACTCCCTGTAAAATTACCAAAAAGGAAAAATGATATTTATGTACATCGCAAAACAGACTTCAGCGCACAGATGCTGAGGTGTCAAAAACTGCTTGACGCAGGTTGTAATATGATATTCATTCATGGCATTGGCATGGCAGTCAATAGAGCCATTAATCTTGCAATGCAACTCAATGAATTGGAACATGGGACTCTGGAAATGGAGGTGAATACATCAACTGTTGAACTTTCCAGTGACCTTGATGCAAATATAGATGACCTTGACCCAGATTCACGTGGAGGAATTAACTCTGCTGTTCACATTAGATTGTTCAGGTTAAAGAAAACAGAATCAAGTCAAAAGCAAGGCACCCGATAGGTTTTGCAATTATTGTATATATATTTAAATCTATATAAAAAGGAACATGCATATTGTTTGTATTATTTTGTCTTTGTTTTTTCCAAGGATAGTCTTTGTTTTTTCCCCAGGGTATTTCATTATTGCCTAGTTAAAATGTTTAATATATGAACTCAAATAATTAACTCAACTGCCATCTTCAGTTATGAATCAAAAGTTCTTTATTCAATTTCAATCAGATATTTATGACAAATTGAGAGTCAAAATAACAATTTTTCAAAATAACAATATTCCACTGAAAAACTCTGGAAGACAACCCTTACATACACCAAATGTATGCCAACACGTCTTTTATTTTTGACTTCATTGAAGTGTGTGTGAACTTCAGGGGTGGATTTAGGCGGTCTTCTGGGTCTTCCGGAAGACTGTCAGATTTTTAAGTTTACACTGACAGGTATCTATTTTTTTCTGTCAGAAGACAGTCAAAAATGGAGGATAGTAACAAAGATAATTTAGAAGACTGTCAGAAAATATATCTGAATCCGCCCCTGAACTTGATGAACATACACTTTCACAATGACTCAGCTTTGTACCAACTAAACTTTATCATATTTCCAGGGCAATAATATAAAAGAAAAGCAGTGCTTGGAGTTTCCTTCTTTTAAAGAATCTGCATTTACAATAAACAATTATGACAGAGAATGGGAAATAATCTTACAGTAAACAAACACGCTGTAGAGACACACATTATACACATTGGGTTTATACAAAATAGCCAGTAGTTCTATTTAGGCCTGTAGAGAAATGAATTGTGATGAAAAAACAGCCAAGTTCACAGACAGTCATTGTTGAGCATAAGATGTCAATAAATTCATATACTTATCAACACCAAGGTAGTTATTTAGTGATTCTGTATCACGCATTCGTTGCATAGAGCAAAGTCATTCGTTGCATAGAACAAAGTCATTAGTTGCATAGAGCAAAGTAAATGTGTCGGGTGCAACAGTAAAGTAGGTACCTGGTAAGTTAGACAGCCGTACCATATTCGTAAACAAATATTTAGGAAAACTACTTAAAATAATATACATGAAAATGTATTTTATATAAAAACACTGACTTTTTGCAAAAGTTTCCAGGCAGCTTGTACACTAAACTGTACATATGTACTGGCCCATTGCTTGTTGTAAATGCAGTTGACTACCCCCCCCCCCCCAAAAAAAAAAAAAAATGCCCATTTATATACTAAGTAAAGATGCAGTTAGCGAAATTAATACTTCAAAACATTTTAAGTGGGTGGTAATCTCAGAATCCTGACTGTTTAATGGTAGCAATGAATTAATAAATTTCCAACTTCAATGATTCATGACACAGTCTTTAAGTACTGGCCAAGTTAAGAGTCTCTAAGTACTGACCAAATTAAGGAATTTCTCGCTAATGAGCATTCAGTGTTATCGGCCAATTTCTGATAGAAAGGTGATTAAATGTACCAGAACCGAGAAAATAACATAAACTCCAAGTTGTTTCTTGGCGGAGCAGTTTGACTTAAACCCCTGGTAAATCTTTTCCCATAGTAGTAGTAGTAGTAGTAGTAGTAGTAGGTCTTACTTCCTCTGAACCTGAAGATATAAGAAATATCCAAATTTTTAGATCAATGTATTTTATCAATACGATAGTAGTCCTATTGCTGAACTGCCACTACCCCCTTGCCTGCTGAAAAAATGTCATTATTTTCATAACTATTACCTTCACCTATTCATTTTCTTACATTTTTATTTGTGCTCATTGAAATTTGAATTTTGTTTTGATTGAGTGAGATCATCTTAAATGAATACCAATAATTCATGCGTTTCAATCCACTCCGTTCTTTTACAGATAGTTGTCTGAAAGAAATCCGTTTAATGAGCTAGCTGTGCAACGGAGTCTCTCTCAACAAACGAATCAAGATCTGAAATTCACCTTTGTCTTGTAATTTGTACACCCTAAGATAAAGCTTTCCTGTCGTCGGGCGTCTGTCTTTGTAAACCATTTCAAACCAATAACGGCCCGAATCCTCAAGTTCTGTTACGTTTATAGCAACCACAATGCTACTGTCGGTAACACGACCCATGAAGCGTGGCGCTGCCCCACTGTTCGGGTTGCTGCTACAGGTGTGGCTGTCACACTGCACCAGACTCCTGTTCAAGGCGTTGAAAAGTTTGAACTGCTGAAGATTTCGTCCTGACGTAAAGTTCAACTGTGCTGTATTGCCCAAAGCCGTATGCTGGATTTTAGTACCCTCTTCAATAAGTGTAGAGTTCCCTGGAAAAGAAATGACGAAAAATAAGATGGATAAACAGAAGGGAAGTCAGAAAAAACTTCTTAAATGTACAAAATATTTAATAATAATAATAACTATAATAATAATAATATGCCTAATATAAATTACCCATGAGACAGTTGCGCACCACATTCAAAAAAATTAATTCATTAGTCGGACGCATTCAGTCCGAAAGTTACTCAGTAACTAAGAAAGAGTAGGCTTAATAAGATATTTTGTTTTTACAACTTCGACTGTGAAAACACTCCTGTTCTGTGATTAAATTAAATCAGTTGGCTATGATTGCAAGCGTGACGTAAACAAAAAAAAAACTAAAATCCCCCCAAAATCCAATTACAGCAGGCAAAATTTCCAGTCTAATTTAAGAAAAACTTTTTTTAAAAAATTCGTCATGAAGTCAGTACATTTGTCATAAAATTACTAATCAGTTGTACTCAATAATCCAGCCCTATCTAGTAAGATCGTCACACGTTAAGTCTTGTGTACACATATCTGGGGGAAGGGAAGGGCAATAAACAAACCTGAATTGCCAACAAAAGTTCTAAATATAGCGGTTAAAATCCCATTCCATATTTAGCCTAAATTACACATAAACTCAATCATGACGCTTCAAATTTCATCTATTTATTTATAAGACAATGTGTGTAATCTAATTGCGAGATTTGATCACTAATAGTCTTGAACACACACAAAAGAACATGCATGCGCACGCGTGTGCGCGCGCGCGCGCACACACACACACACCGTACGTGTAATTCGATTAACATTTAAGAACTGCTGTTTCCTATGTAAACTATGCAGAATTTTCCAATTAATAACTTAACCAACACATTGTCATCCAAGCTTTAATCTTTATTACTTACCTGACTGTAGAAGATGAAAAGTGCAATATTTCGGCTGCTTGTGGTGATAGGCAATTCGAACCATGTAAATGCCTTCGTCAGCCGCTGACAGATTTTGCGTCAATAACGAAATCACTCCATGTGTCAAGTCTGTCTTCGGGTTCAGCCTCATTTTGATGCCGCCTTCTATTCCAATACAGGTATCCCAGTCCGAGATTGCCTTTGTGGACCAAGTCAGGATACAGATTTCCGTGTTATCTGACCGAATTTTCATCCACTTGATGTCTAAGATTTCATCTCCATGTTGAAATTTACACACCGGACTGGCCGATGTTAACACTGAATATAAATTGAATATATATATATAAATAAATTAAAAAAATACGGTACTGAATATTGTGTGTCTACGTAATGCCCGCAGCGTAACGCAGCGTAATGCCCCTAGTGACGAATTTTGGGAGGGGGGGGGGTCAGGGAGGTCCTGACCCCCCCCCCCCCCCCGTCAGGGGGGTCCTGACCCCCCCCCCCCCTTCGGTTTCTGATAAATATATCACACCGATAATCCCCTCTTGAAATTAGAATTTTGACTAGCAGGATCATAGTTCTAAACCGTATCAAAAGGGCGCCAGTTGCCCTCCAAAACACCCAAAATTTTTGGGGCCCCTGAGCAGGCCCCGAACCCGACGCCAAGGGGGTATTGGTCGGTTTCGCATTCGAGGATTATTGTTCCGGACCCCCCACCCCACCCTCCACCCCTTCAAGTATTCCTGGATCCCCCCACACACACACACACACGCACACACGCACTTACACACCACCACTCTACTGCACTGTAGATCCTCCAGGTTAATCATCACTACAGACTAAATTCAGTTTATTGTCTCTAGCACCCTTTCTTACATGCTCTAGCTCCATATTTACTTACACCGGTGTAAAAATACGCTATGAATCAATAAATCCAACAAATAACATTAAATGGGGGTGTTAAAGACGGTATATAGACGATACAGGATATGATGCAATATGGCGATCGTCGATTGATATTATCTTACGATTTGAAACGGAGGTGACAACTATATATTGCAGTAGGCTTAATTTCTTTTTCGTCTTCAAGTCCTTGGGAGACAACTGCACTTCACTTCACCAGAAGAAGACCTTGTGATAAGGTCGAAACGTCGACTCCTCCATTTCTAAACGTTAGATCCAGCATGACATAGATTACAATTCCATCTTTATATTTTATTAAAAGTAAACAATAGGCTACTCACAACATACTAATAGTACCGGTAGTAGGCCAACTATACAGATCCAACCTGGTGATAAACTACGCACCAACAGTACATGTTTTCCCATATTTAACTGTTTGTTGCCTTTCAGCAGGTGTTTGTGTAATTTAAACGCACGTTTTATATGCTCCGCATCAAATAAATACGGTAATACACAGAAATCACAACCCGGTAAGTAAATAGTGCGCCTCGATCGTGTCGTCTATATGCTGGTATTTTAAGCAAGGGGGTTTCCGCCAGATAATAAAAAATAACCTATTTTAGTGAACACTGGGTATTCTTTTACAATCAAAAGGAAATTATAACGTACTAGTTATTCAATCGGAAGGTGTCTTGACAAAAAGTCTAAGTGGAAATTAATAATCTTTTAAAGTTAGGGTTCAGGTTACAGAGGCACTACAAATCCCTCCTGAAAACTTGATGGACTGCTGGTTTTAACTTTAAAACCGTACGTAACTTTAAGCCTATGATTGAACCATGTCAAATCAGTGATTTGCGACAAAAAATTGAGTCTGTTCGCCAAGAATGCGGAAACGGCGCATCTTCTTGGCTTGCGACCTTGTTATTATTCTATATATAGTGCCTAGTCCAGAAAGCTAACAGTCACTTTTCGATTGGGGGCACGATCTTAGCACACTGATCATTTGTACAGATGTAGGCTTATGATTCCCTCTGATATCAGGAGCCCCTAAAAATATATACTAGTATACACATTTTCTCTTTGCATGCATATGGGATTCCATTACGGGTGGGGGGGGGGGGACTCCGAAGACGGAGGTAAGTTGAGTTCATTGATAACCCTGGCATTTTTCTCTTTTACACATGGTACACTTAAAATAATATGTGAACCGGTTAACTCCACACCTTGGCTTTCTTCGTCCCGAAAGTGACCATAAAATATAGTACAGGGCGTGAGTTTACTTATGTCCCGATCTGGCCGATTTTAATAGTGTGCATGGAAAGGCTCACCAAATGTGGGCATATGTGAACGCAACGCCTGTACGTGCTATATTCATGGACGAAGAAAGCCAAGGTGTAGAGTTACACGGTTCACACCTTATTTTAAATGTACCGTGCGTGAAAGAGTCAAATGTCAGGATTATCAATGTAAAGTCGGTCTCTTCCTGCTTTAATCAATAACGCTTAAGATTTCAGATTCGGCTGTTCCCGAAAAACTTTGGACACCATTATATCTGACATAAAATATCCCAAAGTCATACATTTTATGAACATGTCAGACATTTCAAAATCATATCATTTTTTCATGTTTTAATATTATAAAGACAAGTCCAATGACAACGGCAGCACAAAATAGTGTGTTCGTCATGTACACTGTACAATAGGGGCCCATTTTTCAGCGTGTCAGACATTGTCAAATAATGTACCTGTTATGTTTTCTTTTTAACATTTTTATAAAATGTTTTTGCGGGTAAAGCGGGTAAAAGGTAGATAATTATCCGAATAATTGAACCACAAGGAAAAATGTTCAAAAACTAATAATTGTACTGAATGGAAAATCTCTCAATATTAATAATTTTGCTGTGTAGAATAATTGTACTGCATGGAAAAGTTATAGGCAATACTAACGTGATTTGTGAAAAGAGATATGCCATTGCTTTGAAATATATTTTTACTTTTCGAAATATTTTGCATTCCTTTTAACTCTGAACACAAGCAGTAATCTACACTATTAGTTGAGAGAAGCACATTTCACATACATCTATGTTGTCGCGTAGTACTATAGAGATAAACTACGCACCAACGTTAACAGTACATGTTTTTCCGTATTCAACAGTTTGTTGCCTTTTATTTTTATTCTTTCCTTTTGCTGTGAACACGATGGGTTGACTTCAAACAAACGCTTCACTGGACTCAAAACACAGCAGTTTTTACATGACATCTAGCAAGCAACTACTAACAGCAACTACATATTATTACTAAAATGACAATAGTCTAAATTGAAAAAAAAACTGATTTTGATGTACAGAACGCACCATTGATGAAATTGCATAATACTGGTAGATTTGCGTCATGTTTCTTCTTTTTATTGCAGGGAAGAACATGAGAAGCATATCATGATGCACCCTGTTTACATGTTAAAGATTTCCATCGACATTTCACTAGTACAGGAAGAAAACTTTTAAATATTTTTGCTATCACCCCGTTTACATGTTAAAGATTTCCATCGACATTTCACTAGTACAGGAAGAAAACTTTTAAATATTTTTGCTACCACAATACAAATGTTCTGATTTAAGAAATCTGTAAAATTTAACATTGGAGACATTGAGCAATTACCACAGTTTTTTTAAATAAAAAATACTGGCACTGTGCAAAAGTATGCGGGCGGCTTGTACACTAAACCAAGAAGTTGTAGAGACTTCTTGACTAAACTGTATATATATATATATATATATATATATATATATATATATATATATATATATATATATATACTGACCTATTGTATGATATGCAGCTGACTCAACACCCCCACCCCACCCAATAAGCCACTAAGATGCAGTTAGAAAATTTAGTTCTTCAAAACATCCTCAAACTACTCGGTGGTAATATCAGAACTCTGACTGTTTTAACTTTAAAAATGCTGACCATGAATTTTTAACTTACATGATTCAAGCCAAAATAATACTGACCAATTTTCTGGCAGTTCTCGCTAATGTGCATTCAATGTTATCAGATATCTATATCTATCTATCTATCTATCTATCTATTGAATGTCAGCCTATTGCTATAAGTGCAATCAGTAGTACTACATGTGACATGTGGTCAAGATGGCAGGAAGTCGTCAATGCCCAGGTGCGTGACCAGACATACCAAAACTACCGGGATTATAACAGAAACTCCAAGTTGTTTCTTGGCGGAGCAGCTTGACTTAACTCCTGGTAAATCTTTTCCAATAGCAGTAGGTCTTACTTCTTCTGAACCTGAAGATATTAGAAATATTCAAAATTCCAGTTCAATACATTCATACAGAAATAGCCCTAATGTCAGTGCTGAACTTCTACTATTTTATTTTCATAACTATTACTTTCACCTATTCACTTTATTTCATTTTTATTTGTGTTCATTGAAATTTGAATTTTGTTTTGATTGAATGACATCATTTAAAACATGAAAAAAATATTTCATGCACTGCTATCTACTTCATTATTTTTAAAAAACGCTGAAACGTTAAAACAGTCTCTCTTAACACGTCTCTCGTAACAAACGAATTAAGATCTGAAATTCACCTTTGTCTTGCAATTGGGACTTGTACACTCTAAGATACACCTGTCCTGTCGTTGGAAGTCCGGTTTTGTAAGCCATTTCAAACCGGTAAAGGCCCGAATCCTCACGTTTTGTTGCGTTTATAGCAACCACAATGCTACTGTCGGTGACACGACCCAAGAAGCGTGTCGCTGCCCCACTGTTCGGGTTGCTACTGCAAGCGCGGTCGTGTCCGCACTGCACCAGACTCGTGTTTAAGGCGTTGAAAAGTTTGAAATGCAGAAGGTCGGAGGCTAGATTTCGTCTTGACGGGAATTTCAACTGTGCTGTGTGGCCCAGTGCCGCTTGCTTAATTTGAGTATTCTCTTCAATAAGTGTAGAGTGCCCTGGAAAAATGATGAACAATAAGGTGGCTTAAAATAACACAGACAAGGTAAAGCGAAAAAAAAGGCTTTTTAAATGTACAATTTGTGGAATGTCTATAATAATAATAATAATAATTATTATAATAATAATAGTAAATTAAAAATAATGCATACAACATGGGCGACCAGACATTCAAATGTTCATTAGTCCCATGGCCGACGTTTTATTATTAGTCCTTTCGAATGAATGTCACTCTAAGAGTGAATAAGATATTTTGTTTAAACAACAAGAACATATACAGCATGTAGATCGCCCCTGTGGAAAATATTCCTGTGCTGTAGCACATGCTAGTGATCTGAAGACATGTAAACCTTTAAAACGCATCTGACAAAACTCAAATCCATCAATCTCCAATGGGCATAAATGTTGGGACTGCAGGACCTTGGGACTTATATAAAGCCATAAAATGTTGGGACTGCAGGACCTTGGGACTTATATAAAGCCATAAAATGTTGGGACTGCAGGACCTTGGGACTTATATANGCTATAAAGTACACCCCCCCCCCCCCCCCATCAACGAGTTAAGAAATAGTGCAACTGACGTCATTAGCAAACCGAACCACATAGGGTTTCATGTGAGTCTATGCATATCTACTAAAACAAATGTGTGACGTCAAAGGGAATTCTACGGATTTAAATCTTGGGTTTTGTAATTTATCCAACAAAAACTAACAGACAAGCAAACAAGCTAAAAGGTAAAATAAATCAACGTATGCTACCTCTCTAATGCCGTTTTGATTATAAAAACCATTCATTTTTTTAAAGAATCACCCCAATTTGAGTCGTGCAACCATATCAGTGTTATCGGCATTCGGCATTAGCTTGTAAAAATCTGGGGTATCTGGGGTAAAGGTGCTTTTATATACGCCGCTTGAAAGTCCCGGCCTTAATTTTAGCTGCTTAGTCATAAACATTTTGACGCGTGACTGGCAAGTTACCGAAAATTTCCCCATCTGCATTATTTCAGATGGAAAGAAAATGCGCCGTATAATTTTAACTAACTAAATAAATAAACAAGTTAAAATAGAAGTAAAACGTTAACTGTTATTTCTATTTGTCGTCAAGCCAGGTAAGTTCTTATTCCATATCACTTCAGCCATATCAGTCTAATTGAGCGCGATGGATTGGGAAAAATATACATGTTACATGTAAGTTACATGCAAAACTCAAATACCCCCCCCCCCCCCCCCCCCACACACACACACACACAAATCTCCACCAGAGATCAGCAGGGTGATCGTGATGACGTCATTTATGTGAAGAAAATTCTCGCTGGACCTCTGTGTGAAGTCTGTTTCTTGCTGCTTTAGTTAAACGGTTTATAGGCTGGCGTGATTTTTGGGAAACTGATCCTGTTCTTCCATGGTTTGAAGGGAAGTATTACGGCTTCCTTTTAGCCCTTAGATTGAAGTTTACAACATTTCTTGAGCTGTCAAAATACCGACCCATTGTCCATTTTTGCTGTCCAATATTGCCAGTTTCGTTGGCTTCCAATGAAAATTTATCATCGAACCAACCAAATTCCCGTCTACCTTTTGTTTTGATACAAGGCAAAATATGACTGATGTGTAGTATAAAACAAAAGTTATAGGCCTAAGCTCATTTGATCTTTAGCACACACACACATGCACTCACAAACACACCTCAAGTATTGTGCATATTTGATACCCCCCCCCCCCTCGTTTCCAACGTGAACCATGAGTAAGATTTTAAATTACAACAAACAATTGCGTGAAAAAATTCAACACATTACAATTCAAAGAACAAACACTATAACTAAATTACTTACCGGACGGTAGAAGATGAAACGTGCAGCTTCTACCCCGACTGCTCGTAAATTCAATTTCGGCCCGGTAAATCCCTGCATCACTCGCAGACAGGTTTTGAATCGATAACGAAATCTCGCCGTCGTGCCAGTTCTCCCCAGCGCTAAGTTTCTGGATGCCGCCTTCCTCTTTATTACAGGGATACCAGTGGGAGATATTTGAGCTTAGGAGACAAATGTCAGTGTTATTTGGCAGGACTTTAATCCATTTACGATCCAAGATGTCCGTTTTCGTTCCTTGAAATGTACACTTCAGAGTGGCCGTTTCTCCCGTTGTTAAACCTAAGGTGGAATATATATAGAGACATAATATGGAATATCGTACGTGAAGTACGCATACAGCCATATAACAGCTAGCAGATCCACCAGCCAAATAGGCTCAGCCCAGGGGCGGATCCAGAGATATTTTCTGACAGGCGTCCGAATTATCTTTATTGATCCATGCTCCACTTTTGACCGTCTTCCGACAGAAAAAAAAGAGATATCTGTCAATGTAAACTTGAAAATCTGACCGACTTCTGGAAGACCCAAAAGACGGCCTAAATCCGCCCCTGGTTCAGCCTCTAGGTCCTGCTTACGTCTCCTATACTCCTTCTTACACATTCATCCATATCTATCAAAGTGACCAAATTAGAACAGTGTATACATAAATAAATGAATAGGCTAAATTAAAATGTGGGCGTGAGATAACAATTGCGGTCTATACAGGTCTTCGTGCAATGTTCAAGCCCAGTGGAGTGGCACAACTCATTGACGGTGCCCCCCCCCCCCCTCCCCCACTCACCTGACACACAGATTTAGATGTACTCCCTTCTCCCCTACCCTTCCCCTTGAATGTTTGTCCACGCCACGCCCCCTTCCCTCCAGTGTCCACCACTGCATTGATCATGGTCCTTATAATATGTCTGTCCCTATACAACACTTGTTAACTTCTTGTAGGTATATGTAATGTCCAATGCTTGGTGGGCTTGAATGAAGTATTAATGTTGATTTATCTTAAAAACCAATTTGGCCTCGTTATTTGAAGAATTATTGCCATACTTAATTAAGTGAGGGCTTATTTGACAGGCTTATTTACAGAACACGATTTATGTACCTATATAATCGTTAATCACACTTACCAGATACCGTTTCTACCAGTAATAATAATGCCAAGACCCGGTTTAGTGATAAAGGCCACATATCACTTTCAGTGTATGTTGTTAGTTTGAAGTCTGTTTGGTCCATTTTGTTTTTCAAAAACGTTCCTTTGCCCTTCAATCAATGATCCAGTTTACTCTAACAACTAAATTTTATTTACATCGTGTATAGCACAATGTGACTTGGGGAATTTCGAAAGTCTATTCAAAGCCCCTGACGTCATGGGGTTTTCCTGCTAAGTCGAACCGGATACACTTTATTTGTTTTACTGAATACCTACCGTAGACGAAAGTAGATCAAAAGAGGCATTTACGGTGAAGGTGGAATTCTGCTCAACACAACAGTATTTGATCAGATGCCGTTCAGATAACAGGGTCTCACCTTATAAAATGATGATGATGATGGGAGGTTTGTTTAAGCCTTTCTCCCTCCTCTTTTCCCAAAACGTTCTCCCTACCCCCACCCCCCACGTACAGACACACTCAAATACAACCCTGGGACCGCCACTGCAGTTTTTAAGGACTTAGGGCGTATTCCCGTAGATTTTAGATCGATCTATCCCCGTGGGGAGTCTCATTAGATTACTGTCAGATAATCCGGTTTAAATGTCCGTCCCGCCTACTACAAGCTGTAAGGGGGTAATTAACTTTCGTGCCCGCTCGGCTGACAGCTATTTAGCGTGAACCCCCAGGGAGTTAGGTCGATCTAGTTTGGATCGATCTAATCTCTGGGAATGGGGTCTTAGCTACCTGTTCCACTTTAACCGTGATAAATTGCTTTTATTTAGGTGTAATCTTGTGTTGAGGAGGCTCATATAGAAATAGTAGATGTAGGCCTAGTTCGTTTTATTATTAACCCACTTCTAAATGCATGTTGAATTTGGCATTCTAACGTTTGTCTTATGAGGGAGGGCTTACATGTATTTGCTTATTAGTTTATAGATGTAGACGGTGTACATGTACATGTACCAGTACCTGTACGCGATCGGTAAAGTATTAATTATTGGTTAAACAATTTTTCAAATAATATTAAATGAATGTTTTGATACATCTAGTTGTTTTAAACTAGGATAAAAATGGAATAGAAATTAGCTCTAATACTGGATCTTACATTTCAAACAGTGATCACATCTTTCGACCTCATCACAAGACAACTTTTAAAACCTAAGAAAAACGCCTTGTAACCTCCTTTTTAAAACGAAAGTTTAGGTATGAGAGTCATTTTCAATCCCATCTTTACCTCAGAGTTAACACTGCTTACCGCATATTAGAAGCACTGTCAAGAGCTGATCTGCTAATAAAATAGGAACCAACAGTACATTTCGTCTCATATTGTTGTCTTTTGTTGTCTTTCGGCAGCTGTTAGTTCAGCTTATATGCAGTGACGCACTATACCACAATACGAAGAGCTGAATACCGGTAGTATTGCGTCCGGTGTAAATCAATAGGGCCTGTCCCAACTCTAGATAACAGGCCATTTACAAAAATGAAAAATGAGGTCAAAGATATATTCCCGAATTCTACTTTTGATGTTAAGCTCCACCTACACAAACAGATTCTCTCTTCGATTGCTTTTAATAATAATAATAATAATAATAATAATAATAATAATAATAATACTATCAAACAGGGCATTTTTTCACCAGAGGCAGAATTTGTTTTTTCCAAATTCTCATGATTTTTTTTCTAAATTCTCCAATTGAACCATTTTTGGAGGCCGCATGCATATGAACAGAACGTACAGTACCAGTTGTGACATTACCTATACAATGGAAAGTTTTAATTTTGATATCAGCCCCGTCCCATAACTATTCCAGCTATAGCTAGGTTATAGTCGCTTATTTCATGAGCATATATGTATGCTAACACACATTTTACACATTCAAAGAATGTGCTTTTATCAATCAGATGACTGTTATATCCCAACTGACCCCATGCTGCTCTCGTAAGAGTAGCCAGTTTGTGTGGCTGTACTGGCAAAGGGTGCCGGTGCTTAGCCAATCTGCGAAAGCATCAAACTTGTCTCCGTTCAAAATGCCGTCCTTGTTGCTGTCTTCGTTGACTAACAAACTCGGAAGTGTATCAAACAGACGAATAATGAAATCGGGTAAATCACATGTACAAACTTCGTCTCTTCTTGTCGGTGGTGTGTTGTTACCGCTCAGAATTAAGTTTTCCTACCTCTATTGGGCACAAGAGATGAAACAGTGATATTTATGTTTGAAGAACTCATACATACGGGGAACCATTAACTGGTAATAAATAATGTGTTTTTGTAAAACCATTAAGAGGGAATATCTGATGAGAGTGGTAGTCATTAGCCTTTTCATAACAATGCACTTCTGCATACATTTCTTTATATGGTCTGAACTAGAGTGGGGTGTTATTATCTAAACGCATCTTGGCAATAATCTGTAGCCAGTTATCCTGCAGATTGCCTAATTTTTATTAATATTAATAATTTTTATTGTTTGCAGGTATACTTTTTTGGAACCTGCACACATATATTTCAGTACTCATATACGTCATATATTAGCAATTGTGCAAACTGGTGATACTTCTGAAATTCTACAATAAAATGTTTTAGAAATATTAAATTTCGTTAGATATTTGAATAATACATCAGAAATAGAACCATACAGAAGATACTGTATTTTAATAAGGCAATGAAGGAAACGGAGGACATATGCTCGGGGTTGTTTCGGAGAGGGGTATTTCTTGAGTTAAACCTAAGATCTAATAAACAGATCTTAGGTTAAACTCACTGTCCTGTGCAGCCACATCTTCGTGGCCTGAGATGCCGTATTTGTCATTTTATGACCTGGCCTGCCATGTTCACTGTCCTGTGCAGCCACATCTTCGTGGCCTGAGATGCCGTATTTGTCATTTTATGACATGGCCTGCCATGTTC